TACTAGAGCATTCGCCAAGGTACGGGATAGTTCTAGAAACGTGGCGTCACACTAGTCATGTGACTCGCTGACGCAACACCCCCATGCAATCGGTACAGCCGTATAAAGCATCATTATTTACGCTAATTGCTTAGGCTAATATCACATAACGCTAAACACTCTTTAATTAGAATAATATCATAAAATTTAGTAAATCTGTGCTGAAAAGTTGGCAATGAACAATCAATAATAACCGTCCACCCTCATGATTATCTTAAAAACTAGAAACTGCTAATCTAGTTTGCTTGGCCTAACCAATACTTATATATCTACACATTCTTTTACTTTATAGTTTTGTAGCTCTATATCAGCCGTCTTTAATCCGAACGACAAAAAACTAAAAATGGCCCACTTTTACTGTTAGGTAAAGCTGTAGTAAAAATGTTAGACCTATAGCTCACGTGACTTTGTTGCGTAGGCATGTGCAAAAATTGTTACATTTGAGCGTTTTTTGTTGAATAACTTCGTACATATGATTTATATTTACACCAAATAAGACTCCTAATTCTAGGTTGTAAAGATCTATCAGTGTACCAAATTAAAAAAAAAGATCTATAAAAGTTAAGTATGTTTTGCTATCAAATACAATTTTCGTACTTGTGATGCAAGGAAAAACACATTGGAGATATTATATCTCGGGTATTTCTTAATGGTTTACCTTAACAATCTCTGAAAATTTGTGATAGTTTGGATTACCACAGTTCGAGCTACAGAAGGTGGAAAATCGCTAAACTGACACTCCTGTTAATAACACACATTGTGTCCTGCAGGTTGTTTAGGCCGCACGACACACTAGCCTGTATCTTGATCTTTAGAAATTAAGGAAACAAAAACATCGACATCTTAAAAAACTGGGACGCAATTGTTCTAACAGTGCGTCGAAAATTTATAAAATAAACGTTTGTAAGACGTTTTTATGTCAAAACTATGTTTAAAAAATTTTAGTCTGGCTCATTAACATCCCCGTCTTGGTTTATTTTCCACCCAATCGTTTGTTTTTCGACACATGATTAAAAGCCTCAACTTTATTAACACAATAGTGAATGTCATAAATTTTAGGCTACATTACATCACATGGTTTATCTGTGATGTGAAACAATTCTGTAAGCATATCTAAAAGGAAATTAAAATCTTTCATCGAGACTACAAATCCACGGACAGCGCTTCTTGATACCAATTTTTCTTCTGGATCTGTGTTTTTTCTTCAAACAACGATACAAACTGATTCCGACACTCATAAACGGTTTCCACCAAACTTGAACTGTATTTCCAGCAAGTAGAAAAACCCTTAGCAACCTTTTCTTCATCTAGAGCTTGTGCTATCTTTGTAGATTTAGTAAAAAAAACAAAAAAAAACTGTTAGACCTAGAAAGTCAGAAAAAAATCAACGTTCGTTTATAGAATCAACACTAAATTGAATCTTTGAGCAAACAGCTTGGAAAAATTGCATTTGGAATTTCAGCCCGTTTAGATAACAAATGATGACGCTTATTGCCGTTATAAATCTGGGCAACACTGCAACTTACGCTCATTCTGGGCAACATTCATCGCCTACTCGTATTGTACAGTGCTTCAGCCGATCGAGCTTCAGAAATGTTTTTGAATCACAAAAACTTTTAATGTAGTTACCCATCTGGTGCACTATAACAGATATTGAGGACAACTGATAAAAAATCACTCACATCAGTTGTCTCATCTAGCATTGCAAAAACAAATTTAGTTTGACTGACTTCCTTTTCCATTTTAGCAAGTAATACGCTGGACACGGACGCTACCAAATCACTTTGAACTGAATTAGTCAAACCACTAAGTATGGGTGAATGTTTTAATCTTTACCATACAGACTAACAAGTAGAAGTTCATTGTAATTTCCTTTGTTTGTTGAATAACCATTTTTCGTCTCGCCCTCTAAAGGCTAAAATACAAGCTAACTCAATTTTTTTCCCTATTATTTTCTTACGTGTTCATTGTGTGTGTGTGAATCAAGTATTTTTTTTCTGTCCATCCAACAGTGGGAAACTAGTAATTAAGAATAGAAATATTTTCTAGTATCTTAAGTATTATCTAGCTGTCGGACAAGGATATTATATACAATAAATCCAAAATAGTTTAACCAGAAACATCTATGGACAATATCTAAATGTTGTATTTAAGAAACGTATGGCTGAAATCGTCACTCGTTATGGAATACCCGTTATAAAATACCAATGTTTATTCTTCTTGAAAATTCAGACTTTATTATTGTTTGACTTAAAACTTAACATTACAGATTGTGGTGAAATACTACTATTATATAAAACTATATTTTGTCAAGTATCATTGCACGGAGGCACTGGTTACCAGTGTTTATTAACTGGCGTGTTAGCGTCCTCTCTAGGCGATTTCTGAAATCAAGCTTCACAAATATCTGACGTCTGAAATACGCTCAGGAAACATTTGCAGGACAGATACTGTTTTAATAAGACTGTACGAGAAAGTTAGGCCTATGGAAGATACGCCAGCAACTTTAGTGCGGGAAGAACTACAGGGTCAGAGTTTGGTCTCAAACTTAGAGTTTCATGAGTTTATTAAAGCTTTAAAGAGAAATGGGAGATCTATTTATCATATGGCGTTTGGTCAGTCTCCCTTCCCTGCAATGAAGCACGCACAACTCGAGCTGAAAAAGAACGTGTCGCAGAGTGACTATCTTACAGTGCACGGTAAGGTGTGATTTCTCCTCATACACTGATAAGTATGTGTATATTTTTTAAGTTAGGTATATTTTATGTCATTCAACTCAGCCGTAAGCTAAAACGGTTAAGGTGAAACACTCGACAAATTAAAATAAGTTTATTAACGAATTCTACGATATTTTTTGTTTGTTTGTAATTTGACGAGTGTTTAAGATTATTTGTTTTCTTTCCTCACCCGCACAATTCTTTTGTCACCAGAAGTAACCTAAAACAATATTGTTCTTAATACTTCGCAGATGCACGTTATATGTTAGGGTACTTCACTTACATACAGATACTATATGAAGGCACTGAAAGATATTTAGTGTGGAGTAATCGATTATCGTCGTAATTACAGGTATATATAGAACAAATCTACGATATTTATTAAAGTTCTTCCTATTTGTGAATGATCTTTAAGCAATATTATAAATGTGGCTATAAAAGAGACTTTACATTGTAACTTTGCATCCAAAACAACTTTCTATTGTTGCATGACTACAACACAATTGTTACGACAGCGGAAACTTAGAAGGATCATGTCTTTTCCTGGCAACTCTAGTCTTTTAGTATATAAGCCCGGCAAATAAAGCGGAGATATGATGACAGATAGATAGAGAGATTGAAGATAGAGATAACCGAGTCAAGCCGTAAGTAAAGTATGTGAATCACTGTGGTTTATAGCGTGTGTTCATAAAAGTAGTCAAGTTTGAAGTGACTGTGGAAATTCTGTGTATTGCAAAGTTGTATCGAGAAAGAATAAACTAGTTTTAATTAAGAAAGGATGTGATCGCTGAAGTTTCGCGGAAATAATTTATGCCGGAAATTAACAAACGACCAGATATGCAACAAATTAGTGTCAGAGAGTGGGACAAAAAAAAAAGAAGATGGAAACGAGAAGTGGCAAATAAAACTACAGCTTAGCAGATTTAATGGCAGCAATAAAAGAACAACAAAAGAAACAAGAAGAAGGAGAAGATAAACAAGAAAAGAGACAACAGCAGTGGCAAGAAAACTTACAACAGTGGCAGCTCGAACAGCAAAATAAACAAGAAAAGAGATTACAGCAGCTGTTGTAGGATAAAGAAAAGAAACAAGAAGAGAGACTACAGCAGTGGTTGGAGGAAAAAGAAAACAAACAAGAAGAGAGATTACAGCAGTGGCAACTGGAACAAGAAAGGAAATAGGAAGAAAGTCTCCAACAGTTGCGGG